CGCGTAAGTGAATATAACGAACTCAACTTGAATTGGAACTCGGCTCTCCAATTAACAATCCCGAGCCATTATCCATCACACAACTTTACACATCCATGCTTACAGCAGCTAGTATTCTAAGCGGTCACCCATCTAGATACTTGCCAGGCTCGACGTTGCTTAACTGGTCATTGTACGGGAACCGGTATTTCAACGTGAAATGGCCTTAACACTTCCTAGAGTCAAAAAGTAAATGATACTTTTGATGAATTTTTAAATTAAGTAAAATATAAAATGAAATAACAAATTAAATAAATAGAATTATATGATAAATACTTAGCCCTCACGAGAGTTTTTTAATTGATACATGCTAACTAAATATTTTACACTATTTACATTATTCGGACTATTGTCCTCATCTTTGTCGCCATGTTTATCACAACGTTTCGGCTGTTGTACGCTCCGGCCTTTTTCAGGTGGTTGGAATGTCGAACTGAACCTTTTATTTCGCTCACTGGAGTGTGAGTGAGCGGAATAAAGGGTTTAGTTCGACATTCCAACCACCTGAAGAAGGCTGGAGCGTACAATGACTGAAATGTTGTAATAAATATGGCGACAAAGATGAGGACAATGGTCCGAATAATGTAAAAAGTGTACACAATACCTCATCTCAGAAATATAGACAGATACTGAAGGGCCGAAACTTTGTGATAAATATGGCGACAAAGATGAAGACAATAGTTCGAATAATGTAAAAAGTGTACACAATACCTCATCTCAGAAATATAGACAGATACTGAAGGGCCGAAACTTTGTGATAAATATGGTGACAAAGATGAAGACAATAGTTCGAATAATGTAAATAGTGTACACAATACCTCATCTCAGAAATATAGACAGATACTGAAGCGCCGAAACTTTGTGATAAATATGGCGACAAAGATGAAGACAATAGTTCGAATAATGTAAATAGCGTACATAATACCTCATCTCAGAAATATAGACAGATACTAAATATTTTACATTTAGATTTTATTTCAATCTTAAACAAAGGTGGCCTCACTCTGCCACTTTCATGGGATTTTTCAATGTTGTCATTAAAATAAATCTTGTTTGAAGTGAATATTACGTAGGGAAAGCGCTTAATAATGAGCAGATATTTCTCGGTAAATTGGGGTATTTCTGTTCTGCCAAAATTATTGGTATATTCTTCTATGTGTCGTGTCCGTTCAAGACGTGCAAGATCATGGCTCTCCACAACTTCTTATTCTTTGTAGCTCTAAGTAAGGTTTGTTTTCAGCTACCTCTCCTAATCCCCATGCTGCCATCGATTTACACAAGCTCGTTAGAGAGGTTATGCGATGTTGCTTTCAGTATATTCTGTGAGTGTCAAATTTTCCAAACCTTCTGTCCTTCGTTATATAAACTAGAAATTTCAATTGACTATTTTTTATGTGTTCTTTTTATTTCCATTTTCCTTAAAACTTTCTCGTTACCCATCTGTTCAGTCCGTGATATACTCAGCCTCCTTCTGTAGAACCACATTTCTCTTGCTTCATCTCTGGGGAGATTGTTCAGCAGTCAATGCAACAGAAGAGCACCCATATGACATAATATTCCAGCACCGTTTTCATTGTTTCTAACGGAAATTTCCCGTTTCTTAATACTTTACCTAGCTTCTGGGAGGCATCTTCCGCTTTTGCTTCGGATTACGGTGTCACATTTCCTAGATATTTAAATTTCCGTACTTGTTTAATTTTGGTCTCTCCAATTCGTATTTCGCATCTTGAGATGTTTCTTTTGCTGACAACTATGCATTCTGTCTTTTTGCAATTGATGTTTAGTCCTTTCTTTTAGTTTTTCTTTACTATGTCTACCAACAACATTGTGTCATTTGCATATTTAATATAGGTAAGATTGTATCCGCCAATAATAAATCCTGGTAGGATTTCTAGTTCTATAAGGATAGCCCAACTGTAAAGTTTGAATAAGTCTCGTTAGAATACACATCCTTGTCTTACACCTCTTTTTACTTTTGTATATTTACTGAAGTCATTTTCTATCCTAATGCAGCTCGTTTACTGCCAGTATAAGTTCTGAATTATTCTAATATGTTTCCGAAATAAATCATCCTTAACTAACAGTTCAAATAGTTCTTTGTGTATTACTTTGCCAAACCCATTTGTATACTCAATAAAACATAGTTATACATCCTTTTGCATTTGTATTGCTCTTTCTGATATTTTTCTGAGTAAAAAAAATTGCATTCCTTGTTCCAGTGTTTTTAACAACACAGCACTGTTCTTATCCTATTTCTGGTCTAATTCTGCTAAGCGCTCTATTCATCAGCGTGTAACTTTTTGAGTAATTTCACGTCTACTTATCATCTCTCAGTTGCGTCTCTGTCTTTGGGCAAAATGCGCTCAGGGGCTTCTCTGTCAAAGGACAGAGGGGCAACTGAGAAAATTATATTGAAGAGGTGCCCATCCCTGGGGAACAGCTGCCCGAGGCCGCGCCCTCCTATTGCACCAGAGGGAGGGATCGGTGGTTGCACTGAGGCCAGTGCAACCGACGGTTGCGGGAGCTGAGGGGAATTTTTGTTCCTGTCCCGGGCGTACGCGCTCGGGTCCCCACCTAAAAATAGACCTTGTTTCACATCTCGTCCTAGTGGGTGGGGGACAGAGTAAATACCACGTTCTATTCATCAGAATTTGGACCACAAGTTTCGTTATGTAGTTCATTAGGTTTGATTGTTCGATGCAGTTCGCATTCACTTCCACCTGCTTTATAATTTAGCGCGATGAAAATGGACCTATTTAGGTGTTCCAGTATATCATTACTCTCGTCTGTGTCATTTATTATGTCTGTAATTTTGTCACTACCGAAATCATCTCAGACTTCAGGTATTTCTGTTCCAATTCCATCTGGTTCTGCTTCTTCGTCCATGATTCCATTTCAGACTTTAATGTTTCCATTTCTTCTATATTTTTGTACAGGTTGTCCTCTTTCCTCGCGGAAGGGTTCTCCGTTGTATTCGTTCTATTTTTGAAATATGTTTTCTTTTTAAAACTCGTTTTGTACTCAGTGTCATATTTTAATTGCAATATCTCCCGGTAAATTAACTTTCACTTCAAATATATTTACACTAAATTAGATCTAAAAGCATGCACATTTAGGCTGAAAAAAGCTTTTCCATGACAATTTTGTGTATACCTAGATGGCTACTATATTTCAACAAACCACTAATTATAAGATCGTCTTTGATTGATAAACCTTAGGAAACTGATCAAATTTTGTCTGAAATAATATTTTATCTGAACAAAATTACTTTGTCAAGAAATAAACAAATGAAAATTTGACCATCACTTAGCATGATAATTTTCCTTGAAGCTGTGTGTTAACCTCATGTCCCAAGATGGCTGCTATATTTTAACAAATCACTAATTGTAACATCATCTTTGATAGATAAACCTCAGGAAATCGATCAAATTTTGTCTGAAATAATATTTTATCTGAACAAATTTACTTTGTCAAGAAATAAACAAATGAAAATTTGAGCTTCAATTAGCGTGATAATTTCCCTTGAAGCTGTGTGTTAACTTCATGGAATTTTGTGAATATATCATTTAAAAAAAAAAACAATTTCTAAATATCTAAATTCAAATTTGGAATAAATAATAAGAAATTCGAATGGGAAAATTAGAAAAGCCCACAGAAGTTTATTTTAAACCAAGTGACAGTTGCAAAAACTATAGCTCAGATTATGATAAATTTAATCAAGTTCACAAGAAAATTGCATTCAGACCCCAAAGCCACTCAACTATCTTTACAGAGGAAAGGCTGTAAAGACTTAATATATATCATACTCACATATCTATAAATATAAATGGGAATGAGTCAACATGTATCGGTTATTATTTGTAAAATGCAATTCAATCATTTACGTAGACGCGCCAATATATCCAGGTCTGTGAACATTTATTAAATAACATTCAGTGTCTTCTATTCTATCAGAAAGATGATCCCAGTTCAAAGTCGAGCATATTTGGGCTTTTATTTGAAAGTATTTGAGACAATATGTATAAAGTCTTTACAGTCCTCTCTCTATAAATAAAAATTTTGCGTTTTGGGTTTGAATAAGTTTAGCAATAGTTGCAGAATTAACATGGTTTAAAATAAGCAATTGCAGGATTTTTTAATTTTTCCCTCGAATTTTGTTTTATTCATTCCAAATATTAATGTGGATATTTAGGACAGACTTTGAAAACCTCAACAGTTACCAGTATCATAAAAATCTTGCTTTTAATTCATACTAAATATCATGCACTTTCGGATTCTCAGTTAGACAGAAAAACAGTGTTATCTAATTACACAAGACATGACAAGAATTGACGTTTTGTTAGCCAATGAACATCAGCGCAAAGAACTAATTCAACATATGTTTCATTACATTCTTCAGAAAGTTGTTGCATTGATCAGAAATATTAAAGGTATGGCTGAGTATATGATATTCATGTACGTACTTTCAATGTGTGTGTGCAGTCGTGAATTATATGAGCAGAAATGATCATGTCATCCTATTAATTCGAAGATCAAAGCTAACCTCAATAAGATAAGATATTAATTGAATGGGTGATTAATTGAAGCATCTATTGAGTACAAAATCTATTTTACTAGGCAAGACAACTATTGCTATTAGGTCCGCACTTGTAATGACTTGTTTGACAAATTAACATCAGTTATAGACAAAAAAAAACCGAAGCTAAATTTAACATTTCATTTTTAAGTTTATTAGTTTTCTTCACAACAAAGGACACCGCCCATTTGACTAGATATATAATTCGGGAGGGAATAGTTTGTCTATCTGTTCATATTTATACATCCTTTATTTGCTCTCTATTAATATGTATACATCCTCTTTTTTCTATCTATTTATATATCCTTCCTTTTCCTCTATTTATACATCCTTTCTTTGCTTACTATTAATATGTATATATCCTCTTTTTTCTCTCTATTTATAGATCCTTCCTTTTTCTTCTATTTATTCATCCTTTATTTTCTCTCTATTCACATTTATACATGCTTTCTTTGCTCTCCATTAATATTTATACATCGCTTTTTTCTCTATATTTATACACCCTTTCTTGTCTGTCAATTCGGATGGTGTGCCACTATTTTGGCCAATATTAACAAGAGAATTATCAAGAATTGTTATATCCATACCTTTCACAAAAATATTAGTTTAAAATCGACTGGAGTCGGTACAACTCGTGTTTTTTTTCCCGAAATATCCATAGAAGTGCACTGAATTGTTTCTGTAATCAAATATATTTAAAATATATTATTATATTATGCTATATTATCTTTATTATATTATATTATGTTTTTATATTATATTATGACATTATATTATTTTATTATATTACATTACTATATATTATTATATTATATTATATATTCAAAATACTCAAATTCGTAAGACAAGACATCATTTAGAAGTTCAGCAATCAGAACCTTCAGTCTCTTACTCTACTCTGTATTTTCAAGAATAATTTTTGAGTCTCTTAAAGCAACCAAAAGATCAGCACTAAAAGTGTTAAATTTGTCTTTTAAACATTTTAAGTATTTTATTAAATTAAATACATTTTAAGTATTTTATTCAGATTCTATTAAATAAATTCAAACTTTGTGTGTGAAAGTTAAAAATTAAAAAATGAAGTAAAACTCTAAAAAGTTATCAAAAATCTCGTTATTCATTTTTTTTCCTTTTACTCTTAATTATTTTTATGCACCAGTGATGTGTACTTCTGTAAAAGTGGAAAATCGCCTTGTGAAAAAATTATTGATGTAATAAATATGCATACACCTGGGTTCCCCCTCACAGTAATATGATTGGCTGGTGTCAGCCATAAATACAGACTGATGTGGAGGTACATGAGTCTACGCCTATTGCCTACCACTACGACGAGGACCAGTCCATTACGGTTACCTGCTAGATTGCCCTACTCGGTTGCAGTAGCCCAAAACCACTTTGCTACTTCGAACAAATATATCCTTTTCCGGGACATATCATTTAAATATTTTTTTCTGTTTTTTCATCAATAAATCAATAACAAAATAATTGAATGCTAGTTTTAAGTATAGTTTTGAATTATCTAATATTCGATATCATTAACAAGTGCCTTGCTAAACATTTTCTCAAAAATTGTAGTTTCGAAGTAATCTATGACTAACTTACTCTTCTTCAGTCAGAAGCACAAAAGACATAACTCAGTATGAACTTGGATAATGCTCAAAACAAACCTGATTATATTATAATATAGAACAATTTTGGAAATTAAAAAAAAAGACTTCATACTTTCAAAAGCTTCAAGTTCCTGCTTTCTTTGAAAATCAGAGAATAAATGAAGAATAGAACATTGTTTTAATAACCAAATGCTGACAGTTAATAATAAAATATTAAGAAAAGCTGTATTAAAAATATTTTTCTTTTTCAGTTTACAGATGGATTCATAAACCACGAAGAGGTAAAATTCCAAATTTTTATTTTTAAATTTTAAATATACAATATTTTAAAATAGTTTGAAATATTTTTTCAAATTTTTGTCTTTAGTTTGTATTATCATAGCGCTTCGATATTCATTCAGGATTCTTTGTTTTTTCTCTGGTAAAAAAAAAAGTGTCAAAGTCAATTGTAGAATTCCACATGTAGTATGTTTTTAAAGATACGATCCTTAGTTCTCTCAAGAGTGCAATATTTCCCGTAGCTTTCTTTACGGCTTCAAATTCGAAGTTTTCCCTTTTCTCGACCGATTGCCCTCCCGAAGATTCCAATCTGACATACTGACCATAGCTGGATGTCCAATCTGACATACTGACTCATAGATGGATGGAAGAAAAAAATGGAGTGAGAAAGTGAGTGCAATAACATTGGTTGAAATTTGAACTTAGCTTAACAATATTATTCTCCATATATGTATGTATATATATATATATATATATATATATATATAGAGAGAGAGAGAGAGAGAGAGAGAGAGAGAGAGAGAGTGAGAGAGAGACAGAGAGAAAGACAGAGAGACAAACAGACAGACAAAATACGGTGGAGTCAGGCACGGTGAAGTAATGGACTGGCTCGAATTGGGGAACCGGAGAGCCGAGTTCGAATTCCAGTCGACTCCATTACATTCGCTTACGTGCTAATACCCTTGGGAAAGGTATGAATCCTCTTATTCTTGCCCCAGCTATGGATAAATAGCAGGAAAAACTGGGTTCTGTAGCCTTGGATAGCAAATGGCCAAGGAGAAGGACAACTCTGAATTCAAAACCTGAGCAGGGTCGTTTGGGGACCTTGTCGCCTGTAGTGCACCAGGTATCTGTATTCGGATCTTCAAAAAGTGTGTTTGGTTCTGCCCAAAACCTTCACCACTATCATCAAATAATAAGTGCAGGTTGTTCTGGCTGTCGGTTCCTAGGAACTTAGGTGTCAGACCCTCACACGTCGTAACAGCCCGCGTCGATCAACGATGGGAGAGTCCACGATATGGCGTATCAAAAATACCTTCACAAACTTTGGGGGAGGGTTCCTTACACCAAACCAAGGACAGAAATACATATGTCCTTCTTTTTTGAGTTATTAACTCTGAAGAATGTTTACGATAGATGGCGTTGTTTTGCCATGTAGACCAGGTTACATTTGTCATTCATGTACATTTTGGGCTAGACTGTCTTCAACGTTTAACGTATGTAGTAGAGTTAACTGACAAGTGTTCCGTTTAACAATGGCAGGATATTCATATGGTGAGATATGATTTTTACATACTGACGCGCGAATGGTAATGGGCGCGAGGCTACACGGCTGTATCAGATTGCGTTTCCAGACCAAAGGTAGCTGATTCATCCAAACTTTGCTGCTGTTTATCGTCGGTTTGCTGAGACAGGATCCGTAGCACCACAAACTATGAATCGAGGAAGACCGAAATCCGCTCGGAAGTCTGATCACAAAGAACACATTCTACGGGCTGTTGGAGATGATCCAGGTATCAGCACATGTCAAGTTGGCCTAACATGTCTTACATCTCATTGTACCGCATCGAGGGTATTTCAAGAGCAGCTTCTGTATCCGTATCATTTTCAATACGTGCAGGATTTTTTGCCCTCTGATCACTCGCCTCGGGGGGACTTTTGCCGATGGTTTATTGCACAAACTGCCGATCCGTTGTCTGTTTCTACAGTCTCTATTATGGATGAGGCAACATTAGGAATAGATGAAATAATGTTGTATACCCCCTCATGCTGGGAGGTCAACGGCGCCAATTCGATAATAATGTTGCATATTAACAGCAGTGAATGATCTCAGCTCGGCCTTTCCTCTTGGCCGGCGATCGCCAATCGTTTCGGCTCGGCGATGAATGACTACAACACAGAAAATTTAAACTTAACTATTTTATTAATGTCGACATGTACCCAATGAAGGTCGTTGCCCCTCATTGGGGAGCCGTTTCAGACACGAAAGTGAACACGTCTACATTGATTAACGTGTAAGAACGAACTTTCTGAAAAATCATTCACTATCTATCATTCCCGCACTAGCTCAGCCAATCAAAAACGACTTCCTTATTATGTCTTGTGTCTGACCCTTAAGGTCAACCTCAGGAAGTCGAAGCAGGGATACAATTCCTTAAAAAAAATAATGGTCTGCTAAACTATTATTTAACAATAACACATTTACACAACCAAGATTTATGGACAGATCGGCGGATGGTACATTACAGGCTAGGCATCAGCATTAGTTATTATTAATAATTTTATTCTTAAGAGTGCCCAATACAGAGTAGAGCAAATATAATTTATTTGAAAATTATATTATAAATATGTTATAAAATCAATACAAAAAGAGAAGGGGAACGATGAGCTGACCTACATCTTAATGGTAAAACGGCTGAAGTTTGATTCAACGGAAATCCACAGAAATTAATGAAAAAAGGAAAAAAAAACATATAAAATATTAGGAGATAATCCTAGTGAGATGAAAGAGAGATAATCTGGTGTATTAAATTTATCCATATATCAGAACCTAAAAAATATAGAAGTGTTTTAAAGATTTAGAGAGAATTTGAATATATATATGCATATACACATTAAGAACACACATACACTTGCAGTTATATATACGTACATACGCATACATACATACATGTATATACATACATATACCCAACCAATATATATCTACCTATAAAAATATATTAGGATAAAACATTTTAATTTATCACTCGGCTCCAGATCGACCTATATCCAATTAAACTTAAATGAAATAATACTCATTTACAAGGAGAAAATTTAATGTTAGCAAAAATTTTTACATGTATTTTCCAAAATTATTAAGGATATTATGACATTAGAATTAAGCCTTAAAATATTTTATACTAAATTTTTAAAGGAAACTTTATTTAAAGAAAAATTTCCATTTTTCCATTTGTCAAACCTAATTCTAAATAATACAAAATAATAGGACTCTCTTGGATTATACCAACTGATTACTACCCGTATATATATATATATATATATATATATATATATCAATTATCAAATCCTCCTAATAATTTCTATCATGTACATCATTGCTTGAACCGGCTTCTAATGCTCTAGAGTGAGCGGCTTGGTGAAAGTAGTCGTGGCTCCAGGGGGCACAGTCCAATGGTTAGAGAGAAACTCAGCAGAGTTCCACCACGGAATATGTGAGCTAGCGGTGCTATATTGAGACTGATTTGCAATCTCTTCTTCACCGAGGCCCATTGGAACAGTTGGTATGATGGGTGCTTGATAGCCTAACTATCAGGGTTTCAATTCTCGGTCGTGGATGCGCATTGCTGATGAGTCCCAAATATAGGACGAAACGGCTGTCCAGTGCTTTCTGCATTCTGTTGAGATTTCTATCAGAATCGATGAATTACTTAAATATATATAAAGTGACACGCATAAGTATTGGATACATGTTATTTTCTGTTATAACTCTAGTTTATGTTCGCCATTTTGCCTGATATTTGGTAAGTAATATCTCGTAAAGTTGTTTTAGTTGCATGTGGAAGGAAAATTAAAAACTCATGGTTGAATCCATTTTTTTTTATCAAAGTTCAAAATTACCCTATGCAAAAGTCTTGGA